GTGCCGGCACATTTTAACATGTTGTAGCATATTTGTAAACATCGTTAATCACGGATTAGCAGATGGTAATGTTAATTGCACCTGTGGAAGCAACAAGACCTCGAGGTTGATTACATTTACTAGCGCGGACGGGGGCTGCGGCGCGGCGGAGGATTCCCCACCGCCAGCCGCTCCTGCCCCAGCCCTGCGGCCGCGGTGCCACCCCCGGCTTTGCACAGACTGAGGTGTTCTCTGTCCCAAAGCCCTCCCAGCCTCGGGACACCTCACTGGGACCCAGTGACGGAGGTGGTGGAAAGGGATTTTTCGGTCATGTTGATAATCTGTGCACAAAAGCGAGATTTGGGGCACGAGGTGAGCTTCTCTCGCTGCCTGGACTTGATTTGGGGGGGGTGAGAAGATTCGTGTTGGCCCTCGCCTGAGGATAAAGAGGCCGAGGCGTGGCGTGCATTTTCTGAGCCAAGGAGGACAAATGTTTTTGTGCTTAGAGACGTTTTGATTGTTGAGAAATCATTTTGGAAGGGCAATTACTAAATTTTAAAATCAATTTGGTAAATAAGCCTCTGAAAGGAACCCATGACAAGCAGCAGGGAGGGAAGAATTGACTTTCAAATTACACACGCACACTTTATTCATATCTAAATATCAAAGAGACTGTATGTACAAACAGAAGTAATCGGGAAGCATGTTTTGATCTTGCTGATGTACACAAAAAAAAATGACAATTAATGTCCTCCTTTATGATATAAAGCCGGGAGTTTTTTTAAAGTTACATTACAGGGACAATTATAGTCAAGCTTAAGGCTAAAAATAATGAAAGACTATAAAAAACTACATTTTAACATTTAAAAATATCCAGGAAATTAACTGCAGAAGCAGGCAATGATCCAATTAATGGATCGCATTTATTAGATCAGGGGCAAATCGCACGGCACAAAGCTCCATCTCCAAAGGTGCGAGCGGGCAGAGGTCCCCGTGCCCCTGGCGGGGCTCAGCCCGGAGCAGGACGGAGCTGGGGCTGCTGGACGAAGCAGCAACCACAGCAGATCCACCCAAAAGCAGACGGGGCATCCCAGAGAACCCAAGCGAGGCCAAACCTTCCCACCGAGGGCAACGGGCAGCGGAGCCGCTGTGGACGCCGAGGGTTCCAAGTTTTTTGGGAGCCTTCCAGAAGTAGCTGCTCCACCGTCACCCACCTGCCTCCTCGTGCGAGGGGGTGAGCGGGCAGGGCTGAGCACAGCCTGACGGCGCCCGGCTCCCCCCAAACACACGCAAACTCAGGGAAGAGCCTCCTCTAGGAAAGAGCTGCTCAAATAAATGAAGGAAAAAGGGAAAAACTGCAGTTCCTACGAAATCAGAAATATATATACACTTACCTATAGGTCAAGAATAAAGAGACAAGGGCTTTATGCTCATCCCTGCTGCTCGAAAGGATTCAGTTAGCCTCGGGTGCTGAATCTTTTCTCCGAAAAACGAGCAAATCTGAGCCACGGGCCCCCTCTGCTGGGGCACCCACCCGCGGCCGCATCCGCGGCGCCTGGCCCGCAGCCTTTGGATTTCAGCATTAGAAAAAAAAGGAAGGAGAGAGACATTCAGCCCGCGAAATGCAAGGAAACGCAAGGGCTGTCGCCCCAGCGATGCGCCAGCTCACCCTTAAGTCAGTGACCAGCTCGCCCTCGGGCTCCGGCAGCGAAGTCCTGCTCAGCACGACAGCACTTCGGAGGGGTTTGGGGTTTGTCCTCTCCCCCCAGGAGAGGGGAAGGGGCAGGCACAGCTCAGGATACAGGCCCCCGCGCCAGGCTCCCTCTCCATCACAGCCACAGCCGAGCTCCGTGGCCGGTCCTGTCCCCCATCCCGGGCTCCGGGGGTGTCCCCAGCCCCGCAGCCACCCACCACCTCAGCACCCACCGGCCAGGCCCTCCCAGGGACACATCTGAAAAACCTCCACATCCACAGACGGGCGTACAGACTTCATTTAGCTCAAAGGAAAGTCCTAATTAGTCACTCTGAGTGATTTACTTGTTCATTTGGAAGTGGGGGAAGGGGGAGACTAAGCTGAATTGTTTGAAATTATCCCTAAAGGGCACTGTAAATTAAGTGTTAATGAGGAATCCTATGCAAAGGGCCACAGTAGCTAAATAAAATAATTAAGGTGCTAAGTGATAACATTCATTTGGTTCTCAATAATTTGGCCAGCCTGGTTTTCAACCAGGGTGTTTGCAAACGAAGCTACCCTCACCCCCCCCCCCCCCCCCCCCAGGCCATCAGCGGGGCCGGTGGCACTGGGGCAGCTCAGCCTCCAGTAGGATCAGGCCCACCGTGGAAAGGAAACTTCCCCAGCAGAAGAGCAGCAGCTCCTGATCCCCCTTCCCACCCGAAGGAAGCGCTCCGTTCCGCTAATCCCACTCTGGATTTATACATGACACAAAAAAGGACTGATTTGAGTCTAAAACCAGAGGCTTTATTTCGCTGGGCTGCGGTTTTCCCCACCGCAGCCGTTTCCCAACAGCTCACGGCCAGGCCCTGGCAGGGCTGCGGGCCTGGCGGACAACCACATCCAACCCGAGGTGTTTTCAGACACTTGAGCAGCGACACGTTAACAGAGAAACCGCCTCATCACGAAACAATCGCTCCCGAGCCGTCCCAAATCACACCCGGCTCTTCACCAGCACCCTCTGGGCTGCGAAGGGGCGCAGGGTGGGCTGGGGGCAGGGCTGCTCTCAGCGGCAGCCCCAGCTATCGCTCAGCCACAGCCCGGATTCCCTCCGCAGCACCGGCGAGGTACAAAGTCCCCCGTGCAACAGGCAGAAAGCTCGAGGCCGTCACCGGGTGTTTTACGGCAAGACCTGAAGGATTTGGGTGTCTGCTTTTAAAACCTACTTTTGTCTCCCTTACAGCTGCTCCTCCGAGGTGTTACCTGGCACACGAGGAGCCCGACGGCAGCGTTAAGCCAGGGTGCCGGCGGTGTCGTGCAGCACAGGTCAGCGGGGCTCTCCCTCTAACTCGCAGCGATGATGATGACGGCGGAAGAAGCACTCCCATACCCTCCCCGACAGCGCGGCCACGGGACGCCGAGCAGCTTCCCCGCCCAACGAGCAGCGCTCAGTCAGCGCGCCTCAGCTTCTGGCTGCAGACGGAGTGCAGGAGAATACCTGTAGGGAGGTAAAAATAAATAAAGGTCTTTTTTTTTTTGTTGGTTGGGTTTTTTTTTTTAAAACCACAAGGAAACGGTTCTGCAGGCCTGGATGTTCGTTTGGCTTTTCAGAAATCTGGACCGGGGTGCCTTCATGCTCAGAACTGCTTTTACCAGTAGCAACGGAGACGTTCAGCGACTCGATCCCAGGGTGAAGCGCTCTGCCAGGGGGTATGGCCAGCATCCGATGGCCACAAGAGCTGCGTCTCTAGGGAGAGCCCGTCACCTTCGCTCCCTGCAGAGGACAGACACTGCTCAGGTCAGCTCGCAGCCGCCGCCACGGCCGTTTTGCCCCCTCCCCAGTACAGTTCTGGCTAACGCTCTGCCACGACTACACCCTTGCCCCTAAGCTCACCCGCAGCCTCGCCGGCTCCCAACAGCCGAGGACCACCAGAGGCGAGACGGGCACTTTACCTGCCTCCCCTTCCCAGCCCTCTCCAGCCTCCCCAGATCCGCTCTCCAGTATCTGAAGCGGTTTTTTGAGGAAGGCCCACCCAGCACAAGGCACAGAGCCTCGTAGCCCGAGGGCGAAGACCCCGTGCGCCAGCAGCCCCCGCGCCAGCAGCCGCCTGCCCACGTACAGGGGCCGCTGCCAGAGGGCCAAGGCAGACGAGAGGCCACAGGCCTGATCTGGTCCAGCAAACCCCACACCCCTATTGCGAGTGACGGGTTCAGCCTTTTCAGCACACAGTACCACCAGCTGGGTGCAACTTGTGAATGCAGACAGTTTAACCAGAGGCTTCAATTGATTAGTTGTTAAACCATCCAACAGCCCTGATATGTTTGGGCTGATACACTGGTGAAACGGAGTTGAAATCTATCCCAGGTCATTAGTAGTTGTTTGACTCACACTGTCACAAAGGGAAATGGAAAGGGAGAGGCTTTAAACAATCCTGCACGCAGACAAGCGAAAACGCGGAAGACCACAGACCTCCCAGCCCGCTCGGCTCCCCAAAGAATTCTTCCACATTCATTATGGAGAGCTGCCCGGCAGCTACACGGCTGCCAGAACAGCCAGCTCCTTTCACCGGCGCGCTCGCCCTCCAACGCTGGAAGCCAAGCCCCAGGCTCGCCCTGGGACGGCACTGCCGGGGCACACGCTGCCTACCAGGGGCTTCTGCGCCTCTGCCTGAGTCACCAGGGCTGTCACCGAGGCCTCCTTCAGCTCACCTAAACGTAGGCGCTCACCTGAAGTTTTAACAGGGCGCATGGGTGGTTTAGGCTTTCTGTGCCGCCGGAGACTCGCTCCTCCGTGAGGCAAAATTGGCTCCTTGCTTGGCTGAGTTGCCACAAAATTCTTCCCCCGTTGCCTACTTCCAGCACCTCCCGGCAGGGCCCTACGTACCCATCGGCGCGACACCCCTCCGACCCCACAGGGTAGGGAAGGGCTGTTATTCCCAGTTCACAGACTGGAAGCTGAGGCCCAGTCTCATGTTTTGCTGGTCTGATCTAACTGGCAAGATGCATCCTGTGCAAGCAGAAGAATGCCCTGGGTAACGCATCTTGCATCGCTTTCCCACAGGACATAAGCCACGCTGGCAAAAGCATCCTTTGGCTGGGGTGAGCAAACCTTCAGAAAACCAAAACCACGTAATTTTCTTTCCTCCTCCTTTAAGCCAGCAGTGCTGACAAGAGCTGGGTGAGTTATCCAAGGTCGCACGGGAAGCCTGGGTGACAAAGCCAGGCCTCCCACGGCCCAGCCTGCCTCTTCATCGCTAGGCTGTGGCTCTCTAGGGATCCTCCAAAATAAAACAAAAAAATTATCCTACTTTTTACTGGTTCAACACAGAAAAGTTTTACCACTTCCAGTCATATTCGTCTCCTGAGCCTCTCAAACCACACTCTTGTGGGACTCTCCAACTGGGACAGCAGCTCTTGCCAGAGGTGCGACAGGGCCTGGAGCAATCCTCTCTGATAAGGGTCTTACGATCCCTAATAAAGGCAGCAATTTTGCTTCCAGCTTTTACAAAGCTTTTTATGGCTCTGGCTGCTTAAAATAATTAGGAACCATAAATTCAGGGCAAAAAGACTCGCGCAGAGTGTGACACCAGGGAGGGAGTATTGACTGAACCCGATTAAATCCTAGTTTATACTGGTGAACAAAACACTTCCCACTTCACAGCTTTGATTTCCACCTCTTCGCTTTGGCCCTCACTGACAGGCCCCAAAGACCAGAGCTAGAGCTTGGCTGAAACGATAAAACAGGTTTCCTGCCCCGTTTACAACTAACACCGCTCTAAGAACTGCAGCTCCCAGCGCAGGAAGGTCAAATCCAGGCGTAAGCAGCCGCGCTGGCAGTTCAGAGAAAGGCGCAAAACGAGCATCTCGGTAAAACCGGCGATTCCGTGAACAGCCTGAAACCCCAAACCAAAGCCTGAGTGGGGGAGAAGAACAAATTGCCCAGGAACATTTCTTGCTCAGACATCTAACCGCTTCCCAAGCTGCTCCCGTTGGCGCAAGGCTCCCAGTCTTCAGGGCAGCCAGCCTGCCTGTCACCTTCGGCAGCGACTCCGGCGCAGACAACATTAAGCTGGGCTGTCCAAATCACTCTCTGCCAAGCCAGCGAGGATGCCAGGAGGGTGAATTCAAGTCTGCAAATGTTTAACTTACAAGACAATCTGTGCAATGCTAGGAAGCTCCCTACCATGCTAAATTATCTCTGCTGCTCTCTGCAGCTGCAGGTACGCTACATATTCAGATCTAGGATGTTTCTTCAAACAACCTCAGCAGCAGACGACGGTAATGTTCAATTTTCTTTCCAGCGAAGAGTTAGTGCTCAGCAGAGAGTTGAAATCATTACTGCTGCAAGGTCCGGGAGCTCTCCTCATGCATCTACCAATCAGCCTCCAATCTCCCTTGACAAAAGGATATTTGGACTTTTTCCTGGAGAAATCTCTCATAATTCAAGGTAACGACACCACTGCCACTTTCACCCCCTTCCTTTCTCCTGGTGGTGTCGTCGTTTCTGGGATGCATTTCTTTGTGGTCCATCAGCCGCGCTGCCAGCCTCCCTGCTCCCTTCATAATATAGCTCCACACATCTTGCAGAGATGCCAGATTTGCGGCGTTGTCTTGTCAGTATTTCTAGGAGTTCAATAAACATTTTAATTAAAGGGACGGCTTCTGAGCCAAGAAAACCGCAGCGCGGGGCAGGATTACAGCCCCTTGGCGGCTCATCGCCAGCTCGACACTACTTCCAAGGGTAAAAGCTCAAACCAGCTCTTGGGCCAGGGGACACAAAGAGGGGGGCTGCAGCACAGCCACACAAGGGTGCCTAGAGCAGCGCTCCTGAGAGAATTTCTCCCTCCAGCTGCCACAAGGCTGTTATTCCGCTTCTCTTCACCTTCTGGGAGGCTGCACAACCCCCAACTCTGCCTACAGAAGACGGCACCCTTTGCAAGTGCGCTCTGCACAAGGAGGGGGCAGAAGCAATCGCCCAGTTTGGGTGCTCAGGAAAGCGGCCCCCACTGCTCAAACAGCGCACAGGCCTGGCAGGAGGTTACACCTTCTCCTCCCGCTGGTACCGCAGCAGCCAACAGCTCCTGCCTGCTCCTGGGCGTACAAAAGCAGCCACTGACTGGACTCCCTGGTGGTCTCCGTGCCACAAAGCTTGACTTTTGTGGTCAGGCCAGCCCCAGCAACATCTCCTCGTGCTTCCTTCCAGACCTGGGCAGGGAGATATTCCTGGTTTTTGAAGAGGAAACAGGACAGAGCAAAGACGTGGCACGGCTCACCCTCTACAGCCTCAGCGCAGCAAGAGCGAACACGAACCTCCTGCGTCTCCCACCAACACAGAAAATCCCGGTTCGGGGCTCTAGGACAGGATCAAAAGCACCACAAAACAACTCGCTGTGGCTACACTGACCCAGACCTCTCCTGCCACCGAAACCTGCCATCTAGACCCTCTGCAGCTACTAAACTCCCTGCTCATCCACACGAACCGGTTTGTTCTCGCAGTTCCTACTGGGAAGCTTCTCGGCTCCCCATCTTCTTCTGGGTGTCAATGTCACTTGCAGCCAGATCACCCGAGTACTTCTTGCTCAGCTTTTCTTGTCCAGACCAAAAGGTGACGTAACATAACACATCTGCAAGTAGCTTTGGAGGGAAACATCACCCCGATCCTTACCCCACCGAGCCCAACGCTCCGTAAACTGACATACCTATTACTATAATAACGGGTTTATTCCACCGAAATTCCAAGCAGCTGACGACAGGAACGTTTTCCACATCCTCAGGCTTGCTGACCGTTCCCACGACTTCCCAGCCTTCTGCAGTTTTAGCCTAGACAGGGAAAGGAAACAAACGTTAAAAAAAATCGCCTACTTTTCAAGCGTTAAAAGCAAGTCAGTCACGTAGGCAAACACACTTCCTTCTTTTTACATTTTCAGTACAGCTGACTGGCTTTTGTAGAATTTTGCATCCCTTGAACTTTTACCACCAAAGCCCTCCCAGCACCAGCACACAAACCTCGATTCAAGAGAAGAAAAAAAATAAAAAAAGATGATAAAAAAAAAGTAATTTTCCTTCTGGTGTTTATTCCATTTCAGCAAGCAAACAAACACCAACTGAAAAGCTTTTTTTTTTTTTTTTCTTTGCCCATACAACAGTTCTAGGAAGGTTTTTGCCAGAAAAGCATACAAAAAGACTAGTGTTAAACAAATTAGCATAAGGCTAATCCACAGAGCAACGCAGTGGAAGTTCTCAAGTGCAGGCTCAGCCATCAGAAGCCCACAGCAACGTTTTCAAACACAAGTGCCCATTTTCAAACTCAGCCGCCAAAATTCAGCTCGTACAAAAGGCAGGGCACTCAACACTCGGTGCCTCGCAGAACCAAAGAACCAGCCTTCCTTCCCGCGCCCTAGTAGAAAGAGCCTGAATTTTTTTGCCTTGGAAACCCATTTTAAGAATAAAAGAGCTGCTGCTTCTTGCCAGCTTCATTTCCTGTGAAATTGGCACTTTCAACTTTACACCGGCCAGGCAACGCCAAGGGTTAGGCCAGCGACGCTGGGTCCAATTAAACCAACTGCTGCAGTGGCTGAAAACGTTAATAATTCAAGCTTTACGGTGACAAACTGCTTCTTCCAGCTTTCAATTAAACATCAATGTATTTTATGTATTTTATCTTTCATTTCACCATCATCCAGAGCTCCAGCTGTCACAGACCTACTGTACAGCTGGAGAAGGGTTTTCTAGCACCAAGGAGGAAGAGCCCAGGCCTCCTCACGGTCACACCGGACTGTAAGAGCTCCTCCTCAACGGGACACAGACACACCGCGACCCCGGGGAGCACAGACCAGGTGCCTCCGTTCCCCTGAGGGTCTGCAGCCCCTGCCCTCCCACCCCACTGCTCCCCCAGGGCAGGGGGATCCCACAGGAACAGGGGGGCTATTTCCCAGGGCAGATGAGAGCCGGCAGCTCCCTGCTCCGCGTGCACACAATGTTCAGGGGGTCCCCAGCCAGGGCACAGGGGACCTCCACGAGGAGTCCCACGGTGCCATCACAGGGGATGGACCAATTCAAAGCAACAACCCTGGGTTTGTTTCCATTTAAATCACGTTTTTTTCCACGTGTGTTCCCTCTCCTTTTGCAAGCACGTTCTGCCCAGGGCCCTACCTCACCTCACCGCTTAGGTGCAGCATAAAAAAGGACTCCCAGCAGCTCACAGCCTTGGTTTCTCCTCTCTCTCCTGCTCCAAAGGCTGCCCAATGCTGCCACCATGTGCCTGGGCCCCAGGATGCTGCCTCCACCGCACGCTGGGCAAGCCCTGCTGCAGGCAGCAGCGCTCTCTCCCGTCCCCCCCGGACAGAAAAGGAGGCAGGGCCCGTCTTACCGAGCTCGCAGGCTGAGGACGGGAGACAGACACGGCGTTATCCTGCTACCACCACCTTCCAGAAACAGCCCCACGGCTCAGACCCGCTACCCGGCCCGATGGAAGGGGACTGGGGGGGGGCGGCACCCTGCCAGAGGTGGTCCGACAGCACAGACCACCGGCAGCAAACAGGAATGCAGAGCAGGAGCACAGGACGCTGCAAATAACTGAGCGAGTCCTTTCCCTGCACCTCCTCTCTGTTCAACAAAGGCAATATTTGAGGTTTCTTGAAAGGAAAGGGAAGAAAAAAAATGTGGCTCATTCTACCTTCAAAAAGCTCCGGAGATCATCTGTGCCGTACACATCGAAGACTTCCACAGCTCCAGAGCTAGCTTTGCTCACTGTTGGAGTCAAGGGGCAGCTGCAAGGGAAAAAGAAAGGGAAAGTGTCATAGGAGAGAGAAAAAAAAGGAAAACGAGGAGGATTTTTGTTTCTGTGTTTCCTTCTCTTGCCTCTGCAACCCAATTCCAACTAGTCCACTAAAGGTCTCGCTCACTACACAGACATACTTTCCTATGGAGAACAGGGAAGCTCAGAAACTAACCCAGGAAAGAGGTTACGGCAGTTTTGCGCACAGATGGACAACTGAAACACAAAAGGGATGAAAACAAGAAGCACCCAAGATGCTTCCTTACCAGCCTGGAATCCCATGTCCCTGCCGCCTCCCACAAAGCAGCAGCTACCCAAATTCAGCTCTCAAGCTCGGTCCTAGAAAGCCCTTTAAAGAAGCTGTTGAGCTACGCAGGCTAGAAACCTCTTTGGGAGCCAGGAGGAAAAAAGAAAAGCTGAAGGAGCAGATAACCAAGCCCATACCTGTTGCTCTGGCTTGTCACCACTCTGTCCACCCCCAAGAAGTACGCAGAGCGCAGCACTGCCCCCAGGTTCATGGGATCCTGGATATGCTCCAACGCCAGCCAAATCAGCTGTCGGTTCGGACTCTCTTCATCCCCCAAGTCGGGCTTTTCCGCTTCCTCCAAACTCTTGAAACGGAGAGGGGTGGCCTCCAAACAAACTCCCTGGTGGACCCGACCTCTGCAAAGAGCATCCAGCTCTTTCTTTTTGACGTGGTGCACGGGGACTCCCCGGGCCGTGGCCTGAAGGACAAACTCATTCATAACGAGCCGCTGAGAGCCGCTGCTCTGCTTGAGGAACAACCTGAACAGGTCCCTTCTGGACTGGGAGAGGGCCAGAGCACACGGTGCGATCCCAAATAAGATCTCTGAGCCCTTAGTCCTCTCGATGGGCAGAGGCTCTTGTTCCAGCCTCTTCCTCGCCTTTGAGGAGTCACCCTCCCACGGGCTCAAGTCCCTGTTGGCCGGCACAGCCCGCCTGGCCCCTCTCTCATACGACTTGTGCTGTCTCTGCGGGGCCAGGCCCTCACGGGAGGGACGGGAATCAGCCACCGCTCGGGAAACCTCCGGGAGGG